GGAAGATCTATTCATCTACTACTTGGGGAATTTAAAATTTTTAATTTGTAAAAGTTAATGCAATAACTTATATCATGAATGTAGGGTGCAGAGTTCTCCACCTCCGGGTCATCTAAAAATCATCTGTTAAAACTGTGGCTACCCACATCCCATACAAATTGTCTGAGTGGAAGAGAATAAAGTAAGGCCAGGCTGCTTGTATTTTCACAAGGTCCTAAAGCGATTCCAGTGACTTGATTACCACAACTACTATTACATAGTTATTAACTCCCACCATTTATTACCCTTAACACATACCAGTCACTACCCTCAACACTTTACATTATCTCATTTAATCTTAACAACAACCTTTAGGTAAGTGCTACAATTAACACTGCCCTTCCTCTCACCCTTGTTTTACAGACAAAGATGCTAAAATACTGAGATTATTTAATTGGCCTAAAATCACAGCACTGGTAAGTGGCAGAGCAGGAATGCACAATGAAGTCTGAAAATCAATGATTCAGTTCCCTAAGAAAACAGCTGCATATTCTGGTCAGGTCATATCTTCTGTTTTGTTTCAGGAACTGCATTTAAAGGACATTGAAAAAAAAAAAGAAAAAAAAAGTGGCTGAGAGCGGTGGCTCACCTCCTGTAATCCCAGCACTTTGGGAAACCGAGGCAGGCAGATCACGAGGTCAGGAGTTCGAGACCAGCCTGGCCAACGAGGAGAAACTCCATCTCTAAATTTAAAAAAAAATAGAATAGAATAGATGGGTCTCAATAAATTTAAGTCTTAGGCCCAAGAAACCATCTCACTCAACTTATAAATCACTACATTAAGCTACTTAAGAAAATAGAATGATGCCGGGTACAGTGGCTCACACCTGTAATCCCAGCACTTTGGGAGGCTGAGGCGGGTGGATCATGAGGTCAAGAGATCGAGACCATCCTGGCCAACATGGTGAAACCCTGTCTCTACGAAAAATACAAAAATTTGCTGGGCATGCTGGCATGCCTGTAGTCCCAGCTACTCAGGAGGCTGAGGCAGAAGAATTGCTTAAACCTGGGAGGCAGAGGTTGCAGCAAGCCGTGATCACACCACTGTATTCCAGCCTGGCGCCTGGCTACAGAGTGAGACTCTGTCTAAAAAAAAAAAAAGAAAAGAAAAGAAACAAGACTGAAACAAAAAATCTAAATCTAAAACCAATAAACACAGGCTGGGCGCGATGGCTCATGCCTGTAACCCAGCACTTTGGGAGGCCAAGGCAGGCAGATCACCAGAAGTCAGGAGTTGGAGACCAGCCTGACCAACATGGTAAAACGCTGTCTCTACTAAAAATTAGCTGGGTGTAGCTGTGGGTACCTGTAAGCTACTCAGGAGTCTGAGGCAAAAGAATCATTTGAATCTGGGAAATGGAGGCTGCAGTGAGGTGCCACGCACTTCAGCCTGGATGATAAGAGCGAAACTCTGTCTTAAAAACTAAAACTAAAAATAATAAACAAAACCAGTAAACAAAATATAACACACTTGAATGACAAACTTAATGCTCTTCTGGCCAATCATTTCTCAACATCCCTGTCAAACTATTTTAAGACTCTGAAATCTTGCTCTATAAAAAGCAAGTTCCTAACATCTGAACTGCACTTAAGAGATTCTATCCCATTAGTTATGGAAACATAATATACCAGGCTTCAGATTTTTATGTGCTATCAATTTAAAAAAAAATGCTTACCTCTTTACATAAATAAAGTTGAATCTGTGGGTTAATTCAAAAGTCTAACATACTAGGAGATCTGGGTTTTCCATTCTAACACAAACTTATGGTGCAAACTTAGCAAAAGCCTTTTCTGTATTTGCCAATTCAGTAGTAACACAAAGATATAATATTTGACACCTCCACGTGGCACCAACAAAGTCTCTTCAAAGGAGTCCTGACTTTGGTTAACTTTACTTGGGAGAATTAAAACCTATGGTTGGAAACTCCTTCATAAAAATTAAAACTGGAAGAACGATCCAAGATGGCCAATCGCTAACATCTCGGGATTGCAGCTCCCAGCGAAAGCTCAGACAACTAGAGGATGCCACACTTTCAGACAAATTTTGGTTGCTCACGGAGCAGAAGATTCCCAGTGGAGGAGCTCCATGGGTCGCCAGCACGACTCTTGTGGCTGGCGCAGCGGTTTCGTCAGCACCTCGGTGCGGCAGCTCTCGGTGCAGAGTAAACAGGACTGGTTCCCCTTCTGACTGAGGTTTGGAGGAGCCACAAGGGTCACCAGTGCGACTCTTGTGGCTGGCGCAGCAGTTGTGCCAGCACCTCGGCGCGGCAGCTCTTGGTGCAGAGTAAACGGGACTGGTTCCCCTTCTAACCAATGTTTGGAGCTCCGGGAAGGCAGAGTTGCCTATTACAGACTCAAGAAGGAAGCCAGACTGGAGATTCCCGGGCAGAAAAGCACCATCAGTCTTTTGGCCGGCGCCTGGCGCAGTGGGTTGCTCATATTTCAGCCCTGGGAATTAACAATTTGGATGTCCACTCAGAGACCTAATCTGAAAGTTGGTAATTACAAAGACCACAGGTGGATAAATTTACAATGATGGGAAGAAACCAGCATAAAAAGGCTGAGAACACTCAAAATCAGAACGCCTCTCCCTCTAAAGAGGATCACAGTTCCTCATCAACAAGGGAACAAGGCTTGATGGAGAACGAATGCATCCCATTAACAGAATCAGGCTTCCAAAGATGGATAATAAGATACTTCTGTGAGTTAAAAGAACATGTTGCAGCCCAATGTAAAGAAACTAGGAACTTTGAAAAAGGTTTGACGAAATCCTAATGAGAATAGACAACTTAGAAATATAAGTGAATTAATGGAACTGAAGAATACAATGCAGGAACTCCGAGAAGCATGCACAGGTTTAAACACTCGAATTGTTCAAGCAGAAGAAAGGATATCAGAGGTCGAAGTCCAACTTAATGAAATAAAAGGAGAAGACAAGATTAGAGAAAAAAGGATAAAAAGGAATGAGCAAAGTCTCCAAGAAATGTGGGACTATGTGAAAAGACCTAATTTACGTTTGATAGGTGTACCTGAATGCGACGGAGAGAATGAATCCAAGCTGGAAAATATTCTTCAGGATATTATTCAGGAAAATTTTCCTAAACTAGCAAAGCAGGACAATATTCAACCCCAGGTAATACAGAGAACACCACAAAGATATTCCTCAAGAAGAGCAACCCCAAGGCACATAATTGTTAGATTCACCAGGGTTGAAACAAAGGAGAAATTACTAAGGGCAGCCAGAAAGAAAGGTCAGGTTAATTACAAAGGGAAGCCTATCAGACTTACAGCAGATCTCTCAGCAGAAACTCTACAAGCCAGAAGAGAGTGGGGGCCAATATTCAACATCCTTAAAGAACAGAACTTTCAGCCCAGAATTTCATATCCAGCCAAACGAAGCTTCACAACTGAAGGAAAAATAAAATCATTTATGAACAAGCAAGTACTCAGAGATTTATTACCACCAGGACTGCTTTACAAGAGCTTCTGAAAGAAGCATTACACATAGAAAAAAACAACCAGTATTAGCCTTTCTAAAAATATACCAAAAAGTAAAGAGCATCAACATAAAGAAGAATTTACATCAACGAATGGATAAAACAGCCAGTTAACATCAAATGGCAGTAATCCTAAATTTAAATCGACTAAATCCCCCAATCAAAAGATACAGCCAAAACCCAACTGCATGTTACATCCAGACCCATTTCACTTGCAAGGATACACAAAGACTCAAAACAAAGGGATGGAGAAAGATTTACCAACCAAATGGAGAGCAAAAATAAATGAATAAATAAAAAGCAGGAGTTGCAATTCTCGTATCTGATAAAATAGATCTTAAAGCAACAAAGATATAGTATGGTAAAAGAATCAATGCAACAAGAAGAGCTAATGATCCTAACACCCAGATACATAAGACCTATAAAGAGACTTAGACTCAACAAGACAGAAAATTAATAAAGATATCAAGGACTCGAACTCAGATCTGGAACAAGTAAACTTAATATTTATAGAGCTCTCCACTTTAAATACACAAAATATACATTCTTGTCAATACCACATCACACCTACTCATAGGTTTAAATGAAACATTGATTGGCCATTATTAATACCCATTTTTTTTTAGAATAAAGCAACATTTCCCTTCTCTCTCCCTCTTTTTCTTCCTTTCTTCCTCTCCTTCACTCCTTTTTTTCTTTCCTTCTCTAAAAAAAAAAAAAAATTAAAACTTTAGAAGTCTAAAATGGTGTTACAAGTTAGCCCATAATAAGCAATTAATTATAGAAACTGAGATTTGAGTAACAACCGCTAAAAAGGTGCAATTACACAATTTTACAAGATAACCACCAGATCACTGAAATGTACATCTCTTAATAAATGTAAAAAGTAAATAATATTCAGTACTCTGAGGCGCTGTATTATTTTGTATCTGTATTATCACTACATCAATGTTGCTATTCTCCCCCCCACTCCCTTGATAAGCAAACACAGCCAATGTCCAGGATCCCTCATATGGAGAGGTCAGTCAACGTCATAAATAATAATAGTAATAAAAACAATTTCTAATGGCAGAATTAAAAACGGACTGTGGAATTCAAATAGGATGGAAGGTACATGGCAGCATGAAACTGTATCGCTTCTGACTCTTCTGCATCACTGCCTCCCAAAGGACTAGAGAATCTGAAGCTCTCATTGCCACATCTACAAATTAAAGAAAGTATCATGTTTAAAGAGCTCACAGGTTCTACGAATGGTCAGTATTTAACGAAAGCACCCCACTACACAGAAACTCACTCAGCTCCAACACAGCATGCTTTAAGACTCCACCTAAGTTTTTCTTAATTTTAGAAACAAACAAACAACTATTTTAAAAATATTATGTAATAAGTTAAACTCTGGAAAGCCCCATGCTCATCCAAGCAGCTCGGAAAATGGAAAGCAAAATGTGATTAGCTCCATTGTACCTAGCCAGGCTAAGGTGCAAGATCACACGCTCATCTTCGTCAGAGCGTCTCTGCCAACACCAAAGACAACAAAGGCAAGTTGAGAAGGCTGTACAGGCTTAACTCAGCACTTGTTCGCTTTCCCATCTTCAGAAAGAAGCTCTTCGAAGGCCCCGGGGACCAAGAGGACCAAGGGGACCCTGCGCATCCCATCAGGCCAGCCGCTCCGTCGGCGACGCTCGCGCAGCTTTTGTCTGGCCGGGCTGGGAGCCCGGGCCAGGAAGCCGGGCCGCCCGCCTCCCGGCACCCCTTCCCTCTGGATCTTTCTCCACACCCATCACTCGCCGACGACTAGTTGTTGTGGGTTTCTCTCCCTCGCCCCCTCCCCTCTTTTCAAACGCGTCCCGGGTTCGCTGGCTTCTCCCACCCTGAAGGGGACTCAGGATAAAAAGGGGGCCCGGGTGGGGTCTGGGAAAGGGAAACAGGGGCACACAAAGCCGGACTGACCCTACGGCCGACCCCCTCCCTTTGCAAAGCAGCCTGGGCTCAGCGACCTACTAGCTGTATAAACAACCCTCGCATCCCGCTCCTTGCCAGGCTCCCACCTCAGGGCCACCCCATCCCCCAAAGTGCACCCAAGAGCCGATGACAGTGCTGGACATCGCCCCCACCCAGACCCGGCGCCCGCCAATGTGCGGGGGGGTGGGGGGAGCCAGGGCCGCGGGAGGGCTCGGGTCTGACCCTCCGCCCCCCTGATCGGGTACTTACAGCCCTGTTTTTCGTTACTGTTGCCGCTGCGGACCAGAGAGCCGCCACCTTCTCCTCCACCCCAATGAGGTTAAGCGCTTGGTGCGGGGATTAAAAAAAAAAAAAAAAAAAAAAAAAAAAAAAAAAAAAGAAAAAAAAAAGACCAAGAGCGCGAGAGACGGCGAGAGACGCCGAGAGACGCCGAGAGCGCCTGCGCAGTGCGGTCCCCCTTTTTCTCCTTACCGCCACCGACCCGGCTGCACCATAGAGAACGTAAACCGAGACCAGAGAGGCGACTGCCTCTCTATGGTAACGCCCCGCGCAGGCGCCAGCCTGGCGGTGTTAAGCAGAAAGTCCCCGGGAGCTTTGCCCCTCGCGGAGAACGATAGTTGACCCTGATGGGCACCCGTAGGGTAAAGGTTTGTTTTTTGTTTTTTTGTTTTTTCAGGAAAGGGTGGCCGAGTGCAGTTACGACCCTTGGAAAGTTGCAGAGAAGGTTGGAACTAAGTGGCCACAGCAATAGTGTACCAGCAAGCAGGGAACGTGATAGGAAGAGCTAAAGAGGATTCGGGAAACCCTGAGTAAAAGTCGTCCAACTGGAACTTCCTTTGATCGGGGATCTGATACCCGAAGGAAACCGCCTTTCACTTCTGGTTTACGGGCCACTGCAATGAAGGAAATTGTGCCCTGCGACTTCCCTTAACAGAGCTGTGCGTCCACGCTTCCGTTTCCGAGCAGGCGCGGAAGCTTGTGCCGGAAGCACAATTTTTTAGCGGTTCTTTGCCTTTTGGGGAGGGAGACAGCCCCGTGGAGGCTTCCGAGACCCTTGAGTCGGCCAGCGAGACTCAAGGATTTCTTACTTGAGCGCCTCCGCAAATCAACACTGCTTCGCTCCTCCGTCGCGTGCTTTACCCTGGGATGATATGTGGGGAAGTGGTAGGTTTTATTTTTTTTGGGACAGGATCTCACCGCCGTCGCCCAGGCTGGAGTGCAATGGCGCGATCATGGCTCACTGCAGCCTCGACCTCCCAGGTTCAGGTGATCCTCCTGCCTTAGCCTCCCGAGTGACTGGAATTACAGGAGCGCACCACCACCCCCAGCTAATTTTTTTTTTTGTTTGTTTGTTTTTTGTTTTTTGTAGAGAAGCGTTTGATCGTGTTTCCCAGCCTTGTCTCAAACTCCTGACTTCAAGTGATCCGCCGGCTTGGGTTTTCGAAAGTGCTGGGATTACAGGCGTGCGCCACCGCGTCCGGCCCACAAAGTGTTTTGGAGGGTAGAAAACTGCAAATTATAGGACCGCCTTCAAGGATCCTGAAGGACCCACATTTGCTACATCAGGCTCCTGTGCGCGCGGTTAATTTGATGTGTTGAGATGCACTGCCCGGTGCGTTGCGTCTTCACCAGAGGAGCTTGTGTGAGGAGCTCCATGCTAGTAGCGTGTGTATTTGTTGGGATGGGAGAGAGATGCAGGAGAACTGTGAAATAATGCCCCCTGATCCTCAGGGTCTTAGGAGGTGTGGTCGGAGAGGCTAAGCTAAAGCATTAAAGCCATGTGTAGGTCCTTCTGTGTTGTGCAGAAAAGAGAGAGGACTGTGGTTTGAAAGAGTAGGGATAACATGGAAGATGTGACTCCTAGTTGGATGTATAAGGTGATGTCTTTGGAGCGAAAACACAAGCAACCTTTTGAAAATGGGTGGGTGACCGTGAAAGACCATTACAGAGAAGAAACAACAAGATGCAAAGGCTAAGAGGCATACTGGAAGTACAATGAAGAGAGCAGTCTAACTGAAATGGGAAAAACACGAGAGTTAAAAAGTAAGATTTGATAAGAAAGATGGAATCGGCCGGGCGCGGTGGCTCAAGCCTGTAATTCCAGCAGTTTGGGAGGCAGACGCGGGTTGATCACGAGGTCAACAGATCGAGACCATCCTGGTCAACATGGTGAAACCCCGTCTCTACTAAAAATACAAAAAATTAGCTGGGCATGGTGGTGCGTGCCTGTAATCCTAGCTACTCAGGAGGCTGAGGCAGGAAAATTGCCTGAACCCAGGAGGTGGAGGTTGCGGTGAGCCGAGATTGTGCCTTTGCACTCCAGCCTGGGTAACAAGAGCGAAACTCCGTCTCAAAAAAAAAAGAAAGATGGAATCAATTTTTAAAGTTTTGTATCTACACAATAAAATTTATCATCTTAACTGTTTTTGAGTGTATAATTCCTTAGCATTAAGTACATTTACCTTGTGCAGCCAATCTCCAGAATTCTTTTCATCTTGCAAAACAACTCTGTACCCATTGAACAATTTCTCATTCCCCTTTTTCCCCCCAGCCTTGGTCACCACCATGCTAGTTCTGTCTCTGAATTTGACTAGACACCTCATGGAAGTGGTATCATACAGTACTTGTCTTTTTGTGACTGGCTTATTTCGCATAGCATAATGTCCTTGTGGTTTATCCATGTTGTATGTAGCATGTGTCAGAATTTCCTTCCCTTTTAAGACATAATACTAATTCATTATATGTGTATACCACCTGTGTTACTTCCATCTTTTAGGTATTGTGAATAATGCCGCTTTGAACATGAGTATACAAATATTTCTTCAAGATCTTGCTTTTAGGCTGATACAGGGTAGTAAATTATCTTGATTGTTTAGTTACAGAACAAACTCCTTTACTACTGGTGCTCCACCTCTGACCACTGCACTTGTCTAGTCTTAAACAAAAATAACGAAAAAAAAAAAACCTGCTTTTGATAGAATGTGGGGCGAGGTGCAATTCATGCCTGTAATCCCAGCACTTTGGGAGGCCGAGGCAGGCGAATTGTCTGAACTCAGGAGTTCGCGACCGGCCTGGGCAACATGGTGAAACTCCGTATCTACTAAAAAATATACAAAAAATTAGCCAGGCATGGCGGCGTACACCTGTAGTCCCAGCTACTTGGGAGGCTGAGGCAAAATAATTGCTTACACCTGGGAGGCGGAGGTTGCAGTGAGCCAAGATGGTGCCACTGCGCTTCAGCCTGGGCGACAGAGCAAAACACAGTCTAAAAAAAAAATCATTTACAATTTTTTTAGTATTTCTAAAAGAAATTTTTTATTTATTTATTTATTTTTGGAGACAAGGTTTCATTTTGTTGGTCAGGCTGGTCTCAAACTCCTGACCTCAAGTGATCCACCCGCCTCGGTCTCCCAAAGTGCTGGGATTACAGGCGTGAGCCACCACACTCGGCCCAAGAAATCTTTTTTTAATAAATGCAACTTTAGACCACTGTCGTTGCTTTATATCATCTACCCTGTTCATCTTCAAATTAACCCAACTGTCTCATAAAATGTTTTGCTACCAGCTTTCTTGAGATATAATTCATATGTCATACAGTTCACTCATTTAAAATATACAGTTCAACAGCTTTAGTACATTCAAAGAGTTGTGCAGGCTGGGCACAGTGGCACATGCCTGTAATCCCAGCACACTGGGAAGCCAAGACAAGAGGATCACTTGAGCCAAGAAGTTTGAGATCAGCCTGGGCAACATGCAAAACCCCTTCTCTACACAACTTAGCTGGACGTGGTGTCGTGTACCTGTAGTCCCAGCTACTTGGGAGGCTGAGGTGGGAGGATCACTTGAGCTCAGGAGGCAGAGGTTGCAGTGAGTGCCACTGCACTCTAGTCCGAGCAACAAAGTGAGACCCTGTCTCAAAAAAATTTTTTTAAATTAAAAATGGAGTTGTGCAACCACCACCACAATTTGTTTTAGAACATTTTTATCACCCAAAAATAAACATTACTGTGGACTTAGGGTGATAATGATGTGTCATTGTAGGTTCATTAGTTATAACCACTCTGACGAGGGATGTTAATGGGGGTGAGTGTGCATGTATGGAAGCAGCAGGGCATATAAAAAAAATCTCTGCGTCTTCTCAATTTTACTGTAAAACCAAAACTGCTCTAAAATTTAAAGTTTTTTCTTTTCCTTAAAGAATGATACTAAAAGAAAAAAAGAATAGTACTAAAATCTTAAAAACTCTACTGCTATGAGTAGGCACTCTATTTCCTCCTAACCCACCAGTCCTAGGCAATGTAATCTACATTTTTGTCTCTAGAGATTTGCCTATTCTGGATATTTCATATAAACGGAATCATACATTTGCTCTGGCTTCTTGGCATTTTTTTCAAGGTTCATCCATGTTGTACTTGATTCATTTTTATTATGAAATAAAATTTCATTCTAAGTATACCATATTTTGTTTGTTTCTTGGTTGATGAACATTGAATTTCCATTTTTGGACTATTTTGAATGACACTAGGAGCATTCTATTATAAGATTTTGTCTGGACATGTGTTTTCAGTTTTCTTGGACATAAATGTAGAATTGCTAGATCACATGGTAACTGTATGTTTAACCTTTTCAGAAATGGCTGGACTGTTTTCCAAAGCGAAGGCTCCATTTTACATTGCCATCAGCAACATATGAAGGTTTTAGTTTCTCAACATCCTCAAAAATAAGGCATATTTTTATAATATTTAAAAAGTTATTCTTAAAGGATTTGATGCCATATTTTTAATCACATGCACCAGTAAAGAGGAATCACTAAATTTAGGTAGGCAGATTTCTTTCTCTTTCTATAATTCCTATAAAGTAAGTATTGAGGTTAACGCAACATCTTCCATTCTGGGTTAACCTAAATACTTTAGTAATAAAGACTTACTTGTAACTAATTAGATAGTCAGCTTTACTTAATCTTCTTAATTATCTAGATTAGATGTTAAGATAAAAAATATTTTATGCCTACAGAAATTAAAATTCAGGAAGGACAGTAGCACATACATGCTCTCAATGTCTGTCATAACTCGTGGAATCTGGATTTGCATGCTTGGGAAACAGGTAGTGTCTGCTAGAGAAGTGGTGTGACAGAAATGTGGGCAAAGGTAGGGTGTGTCTTTTGTAAAGGATGAAAACAGGAGATTAAAAACTAGTTTGCTAAATCATGTTCATAACCACTCCCTGGAGAGCAATTACTCTGATTACTTGACTTACCTGGAAGGTACCACCCACTGGAGGAGAAAATAGAGGTGTTTGGTTCACTCTTGTGGGTTTTCCCACGTGCGAAGGTGTTATGCTGCTGCTATGCCCCTGTTTGGACACTGTAGTAGCAGTTATTAGAGAATGGTAGAGTAAGGGGTGCCCTCACAGCTGTCAACTCACTGTGTGAGCCAGACAAGTAACTTAGCCTGGTTGCAAGCCCCAAGGTTACTTATCTTTAATGGAGAGGATAGTTCTAGTTTCCAGTGTTATCACACCTAATGAAATTGATATTACAAAACCCACTTCTCAGTAAGGAAGGCAGTTTGAAAGGGTTCTTGCTGTGAGAAGCATGGCAAATACAGGCAGTTCTAAGGACAGTGTTTATGTAAAACAAATGATTGAATAGCCATTTGAACATTACCCAATCTTGTATAATATGCACCTGCTGAGGCATTTTGAAGACTCTTCTTACACCTAATAAGGAACAAGGGCAAATAGCAAAAAGTAAGTAACCTGACACAGAGATTTCCCTTTGAATTGCCCTGTGAGATTTCTCAGGCAACAATGGTCCACGCCAATTCGCAAATGGACTCTTTGCCATTGGCTCAATCAACCCATCCAAATGCAGAGAACCATTTGGAGGCATTCAAAACCAAGTGAGGGACAATTTGCTTTCATTTATACACTATTAGCCTCTCCTTCCCCCCAAAATTTGAAGAAACAAAAACAAAAACAAAAGAATATGTAAATGAAACCTGCCCCTAGGTACGCATACCTGAAGAAACACACTTTTTTTTTTTTTTTTTTTGAGACACAGTCTCATTTTGTTGCCAGGCGCCAGGCTGGAGTGCAGTGGTGTGATCTCGCCTCACTGCAACCTCCACCTCCCAGGTTCAAGCAATTCTCCTGCCTCAGCCTCCCAAGTAGCCGGGACTACAGGTGGGTGCACCACCAGGCCCAGCTAATTTTTGTATTTTAATGGCGACAGGGTTTCACTATGTTGGCCAGGATGGTCTCAATCTCTTGACCTAGTGATTCGCCCACCTCGGCCTCCCAAAGTGCTGGGATTACAGGCGTGAGCCACCACTGAACCTGGCAGAAACATAATTTTTATACTCAAGGAAGTTTCCTAGGAAAGTCAACTATGACTATGTTATGCAGTTACTACAATGATGGAGATGTGCGCAGGGACACATCTACTTAGGAACACAAAAGGCAGCGCTTACAAGTGTCAGTGAGTCAAAGAGAGCTGAGGAAGAGCAGAGGCAACGTTCCCGAGCTAACTCAGGTAAACAAAACGTTGCAAGTCACAATTCTGACTTATTTCAGACTCTTAGAACTACAGTAACGATTTAGACTAGTTCTCATTTGGTCAGGGTTTATTTACTCACAGTTTCGAGCACCCCTTAATCTTTCCATTTTAACAAGGGCATGTGGAGCTTCACAGATAGTATCTCCAAAAAATGGGCATATTTTGACTTGTGGACCATCACCGACACACACACACTTCAAGGTCACTTTCATACAGCAAAGTGAGGAAAGAGCTCCTTAGCTAGATCAGAATGTGTAAATGAGGCCAGCACAGTGGCTCACGCCTGTAATCCTGGCACTTTCGGAGGCGGAGGCAGGCTGATCTCCTGAGATCAGGAGTTTGAGACCAGCGGGCCAACATGATGAAACCCGGCCTCTACTAAACGTACAAAAATTAGCCAGCATGGTGGCGCAACCTGTAGTCCCAGCTTCTCGGGAGGCTGAGGCAGGACAATTCCTTGAACCCAGGAGGCAGAGGTTGCAGTTAGCCAAGATCACACGACTTCACTTCAGACCAGAAGACAGAGCAAGACTGTCTCAAAAACACAAAAAGGAAGGACTATGTAAATGAAACTGCCCTACTACTTCTGCTTCAGTAAAAACAACAGATTCTGGTCAGTATTTGTTCACTTATATTAGGCATAAGATAATTCCAGCTATTTGTTGTAAATCTTGGCATACTGATGCATGGGAATCTTTGACTGCAACTACAGCAATTGCACAACTGTTTCTTCTATTTTTGTTTTTGCCACATTAGTAATACCAAGCAATACTTGAAATGAAGGTGGAGTCTGTGACTGTCAGCCTGCAGTTTAAAAATTTGGATGATGCATTAAGAAATCAACACATTTTGCCAGGAAGGTGATGTGT